GCTTTCAAATATACTCGTATTCTGGCGATATATGCTAAAAAGGAATATGTTCTAGTAAGCCGCAATTAGCGTAAACTTATAATTTATCACAATTAAATGGATAATTCCTCGGAAAAAAAGGTGGTATAAAATTGAATAAAATGGAATATATTTCGAAGATTTGGACAGAAAAAATACAAGTCGATTTAACATGGCTGAAGCTCCTAAATTATTAATTAATTGTTTGAGTGCAATTTTAAACTCACTGAGAAAAATTTATAAAAGTAGAAATTAAGGGAAAACGTTAGTGAATTAAATCGCACCGAGAAATATTCAACAAACCAATAAAATATTAAAACGATTTGTGCTAATAGCAATAAATTGATATTAGTTGATGAAATTGATTTAATTAATTAATGAATCAACAGCAACAATCGAAAATTGATGTAACAGACGTGAACACTTGGCTCCATCTTTTATTTATTTCGAATTGCTGTAAGTCGTTATAGTTTCATTGTTTTATACTTGTACGAGCGAATTGTATTGATATCGGATTGCTGAGTTGCTTCAACTGACATCAATTTCTGCTGTTGTTCGGCTTTTTATACTGGAATCCAACCATTATTTCATCGCAGTTAGTTCTCTCAGATTTTAGCTTTATCATTTGATGAGATTACGATCATTTGATCTGATGAGGTAATGAATTAGAGTGGGAAATTGAATTTTATTTCGTCTAAATCAAACTGACATATACAAGCTACTGATGTCCGTAAAAATTTAAAAAATAGCACTAAACATCGTCGGCTTTCTTAGTTTTAGCTTGTATGGATTTTCCAAATTATGGCTTTTTCTGTTAAATTAGATGAAATTTGAAATTTTTTGAAATAAATTTCAGAAAAGAGGCTATTTTTCATTTAACAGTAATAAAATAAATGCAGATGCAAATGCAAAAAATGAAATAAATAAAATAAATATAAGTAAATTTCATTTAATGAATAACTTTTAAAAAAATGCTATTAAAATTCAAAAGATAGGATTCATCGAATTTCAACAGTGTTTATCTATGGCGAACTTTATTTGATCATTTGTGTATTTTTATGAAATGTTTCGCGAACAGCTGATAAAATAAAATAAAAGTATAAGCCCGCTGCATTGGTCCCCAAAATCACTCGGAGATAGAAGCACGATTATGACTCTTATTTTTTTATTGAAAGGAATACTTCTATTTGAGGCAAAACCTGAAAGATGCGACTCAAGATGATAATCTGGGCACAGTAGCTTCTCGGTTACTCGACTATTATAATTATGACTATTTTGTTTAAAATTTTAATTTAATTGACTATCTTTAAAAAAAGCCAGCAATTCTAACGAAAAAAATAATATGGGAATAATATCGAAGGGATTTATTTCACGAAATTTTATTTATAATTTTTATGAATACTCATTGGATCATCGTGAAGGAACAAAATAATCAAAAGTTATATTCGACTAATGCCCAGTGAAAAAGATGCCCACTTGTTTCCTTATCATATCTCGTCATACCAGTGATAATTTACATATGCATATCACATTTTTTTAAAAAATAACTCATTATCTTTAGTTATTTGATTAAGTAATCTGAATAATAAATATCACACAAAAAACTTTTATTCTAATGTACCACTCAAATTTGGCAGATAGTTAGAATAGGCCTTTTGGTCACAAAATCATTTGAAATCAGATGTAGAAATGAATTGTCTGCACAAGGTAACATTTAGGTAACACTTTTAAAATAGGGATTATTGCTGTTAAGAACCGACGTTGTGATGGCTTAGCCATTTAGCCAAAGCAGCATACCACCTGCATTCTACTTTTTCTACACTTGGTCATTCTACACTTGAACGAAGGATAATCAATTATAAATTGAATGAACCAATCTGCAAAATTTGATTTATTAAATACAGAAAAGAATTTCATAATTCATTTGGTTATCATGATCGGTTATGATAATACTATAACAACAAATATAATTCATTTTCATAGAATGAATCTCTCTTCTAAAAACAATGAATCCCGTGAAAACATAAAGTGCATTTACGTGTTCCATTTGAGAAAATGAACGTTATGAGATATAAAAAAAATCTGTAAAATTATATTGGAAACAAAAATCGCAATTTGAAATGCACCATCTCTTTTTTACAGCGAATACATGAAAGATGCAAGCATCGCTTTTTTTTTTCTTTATGGGCCCTTTGAAATCCATTGGTAGATTCGTCGACCACAGGATCACTTTTCTGGATAATTATTTCTGGACTTATTAGATTACTGGATTTTCTGTGGGAATGAAGATTTTAAGATGCGTATAATGTATACCAAGCACTGTCTCAAAATCTATGTCTTAGTCGTGAGATCACTGGCATGATAAATATTATCAGACGGATTGCAGATAACAGCTGATTATTAACATTAACCAATCATAATCTAATTTTGCAAAGTATTTGGATTATTCATTTCGTTCAATGATTATAGCAACGAATAAATCTCAATGAAAAACATTGTAATAATTTTACCATTTTGTAGCGCAAACACTAAAAGATTACCAAATTAATTTTAATTTTAATAAAATAAAACAAGTAAATAAATAAATCATACTATATATTATATATAATTATATAAAAGAATAACGATAAAAGGGGTAGAACAACGTTCAAATTATAATATTGAGAAAGAGTCCATTATATGCCCCTAACAAGAGCAAATATGCCTTTAAAAATCTGGGTAGTACCGCAAATCCATTTTATCGCCATATCACCAGGCTAGCAAAAATTTTTAAAATTATTAGTTGCCAGCGAAGTGAACCAGATATGCTGGATTTAATTTTCTTACCATTACCATTAAATAAACCGGCTGCTATTGCTACTGAGGACAATCGCAATTTATTTAATACTAAAGCAGCACCATGTGAAAAATATATGTGGAACTTTACCCATTGTTCAAGCTATTCAGACAACAGATAATCTAAATAGAGAAATCTGTAGAAGAGTCATGACTAACTCAAGCTGTGAGGATGTGCATTTCAATTATTATGCAGCTCTGTTGTGTTTCAAAAATGAATGCAGGATTTAACAGCAGATTCAATAGAACATGAAGGAAATAATATCAAGTTTCTGCTTTGAAATATACCAATGAAGTTGGGCTTTAAACAATCGTGGAACCGAGTGCAAAATAGGACCATGTTGGTGGCCATTGGATCCAATATAACGTGTTCAAAGAAATCCACGGATCCATTGGGACCCACCCATCGTGGTACTACGGTTTATATCGATAAGGCTCGTCACTGTTATAAAAAGAGCCGCCAATATGAGAGGTAAGACAGATAATGAACCATAAAATAAAACGGCCGACATGGAGATAATTTCCCCAGTGTATTCTCCTCGTTCTTCAAAAAGCGCACATCCTTACTGGTTTAACTATCCGCGATGAACCAACTCTATACCTTCTATCCTTCTATCTTAATTTCATATTCACTGCTTGTATAATTTCTTCGTTTTGCTTTCGTTGTTTGTTCATTTGTTTCGCTGTTTGTTTTTTTTCACATTTCCTCGTTCCATTTTCCTCAGTCTCTCTTTCTCCTTTCGCTGCATTTGTAAAGTGCAGAAAAGCACCGAAGAGCGAGCGTCCCACAGCTACCAGCAGCTGCTTCGATATTTCCCCGACTACTCACCTTTCCCCATAGGTCGAACGACCAAATCTCATTCACGCACCAATGTTTTACCCATTCATCTCTTATGAATCTTACGCGATCCATAGTCCCTTTCCCAACAATCTTAACTTCCCAAACTTACCCTTCTTTCCTCATTTTAGGGACCAAACGGCATATTTCACAGAAAACCCATTCTTATAGAACTAAATAGCCCACATTATAATAGTACATCTGTGGCCGCTATTTAGTAATTACTAACTCTCGGCATATGAGAATCCGTGGAATGGTTATGAAGTGGATTGAATGAGTAAGTGAGTGGTTATATTTCCTCCTAACATTTTGTTTGTGGTCGAACCGAATTTATGGAAATGCTTAGCGTTGTTCAGTGGAAGTTCCGCGTGGGAAGCTTTATATATTTTTTATACGTTTTCGTTAATTTTAACTTTTTTATTTTTTAATGCAAATTTTGCGTCTCAATGTTTCAATGTTTGTTTTGTCTTTTTCTTCTTTTTCTTCTAACAGCTCTCACGATTACTGGTTAGGCTGGCTCCAACGACTACAAGGGTAAGACGCTTCCAAGCGGCGCGGTCTGATGCCATCGTCGACAGTAATAGAAGCCATTCCTTTTTCCATCGTCTAAGTCCATATATTGCTGGTTCACCTATATGTTCAAAATCTTTTCTCACCGTATTAGTCCAGGTTTTGAGCCCACCTCACTTTTGATGCCAACCAACCGTCACACGATTTAGCAAATAACGAAATATGCGTCAACTCGTGTGGTGTACGACGGAGAATGTGCCCTAACCAGCGAAGGCGGCGCTCTGTGATAACATTATTTATGCAAATGGTATTTGAATTGATATTTGTATCATTGAGATGCTTCAATAATTCGGTTTAAAATGCGCTTACTGTCCCCGAATTTTTTAGTTTGAGATAGTTGTCTTTTGTTTGTCTTTTTATCGTCGTGTGATTAATTTTAAAATTTAATTATTCGATTATGGAGAACGCTTTAAATTCATTTGAGTCGTACGAAAACTTTTTAACGAATTTTGCGAACACTTCGCCGAGAAAAATAAAATATATTTGTGTCTTTAAAAATTGTTGCAAATAACGAAGAACTGGAAAAACTCGCAAATAATCATTTATGAAAACATTTAATGCAGAAATAATGATGATTGATTGTTCGTTGTCAGAGTGGAACGCAGTGCGACGTGCGGGAAATACGTCGAATGCATATTTCGAAATTTTCGAATTTTCCTGCAGGAAATGCTTGGAACCGCCCTATTTATTTTTTAAATCCTATTGAATCTTTTGACAGTTCTGTTTGTTCAGTTAAACAATGTCAAACGATCGCAGTCTTCGAGAACAACTTCTTGAATGTTATGAAGATATCGATTCGATTTCAAAACAGGTCTGTTATTATTCTGAGCACTTTTCGATTGCCTGAAACGACGGTCACTTATTAAAATATTAAGAGTGGAGGAGAGGTGATATAAGTTTCGGTATTTGTGTGAAGAATATTGTAGGAACGGAGATGTGAATGGAAAAGAAGTTTATAGGAGCGATAGAGAAGAGGGGAGGAAAAGAATAAAGCCTCTTGCTTTCACTGTTGTATAATTGTACAATTGTTATCATGAACAGTTATGAAATTTTGATATTCAGATTTTTAAAACTTTTTACTTTTTTAAGTCTCATTAATACTTTAAGATTTGTTTAGTTTCTTTGTATTTTTATTATTGATCACGTGAGAAACTGATTTTTTGTAAAAATTTTCCACAACTTTATTTATAAAAATTGAGGAAATTTAAACTTTTTTTAAAATCATTTCTCCTTTGGCTGATTTTGCTGACTATCAGAACGATGTCCTCTCACCAAGGAGTAAATGAAAGTAAATTTGTTCACGGCATTGGTCTTTTAATATCCCGTTAAAGAATAGGAATTGGATTTATGGTCTTGACCTTAGTCGAAATAACTTATTAATCGTACCCATGTTGAACATTAAATAATTATGAGTTAATCTTTTCCAGATAGTTGCTTTTTTGCTTTTCAAAGATCGAAGTTGTGGCTCATTCTTCTCACTTTGTGATATATTCATTAAAAAGCATGGGCAAATGAAAGATTTAATAGAGAAAAGTAAGGTATCTTTTTCAATTTTTATTTTTTATTATTATTATATTATTAATTTCTTTATTACATCCTTTATGAAGATGTCTGTTTGAGATGAATGCAGAAAGCAGTGGAATTTTATTTTCATTACATTACTCACAAACGTATTAAATGATATATATTAAATTCTGTGTAAAAATTTGGATAAAATAATAAAATAATAAAAGAAAACTTATAATTTTTCAAAAATATTTGGCCAAAAAATTTGGTTCTTTTCAGTTTTATTGTCCTCATTCATTGATGAGAAGTGGTGTGTGTGTGAGAATGATGTTAAAAAAAAAACCGTACTGTGCGACTGTGAAACATTGAGGTGAATTAAAATTAATTTTTTCTAAATATCGGTGATAAGGTGGCGAGAGAGATAATTTATATGAAGAAGCTATAACATTTACTTTCATTTACAAGTAAATTACTGGTGAGGAAATATTGTGAAGCAGTTTGTAGAGTGATGTGGAAATGAGAAAAAGCACGCAAACTTACGATTTCTCTGTGGTACTATTTTGCTTTGGACCAGATAATCGAAGAGTAACAGCAGTTCAATTTAAAAAAGTTAATTCATTTTATTTCAGTAGTTGGACATGTAGAAAGAGAACAATTAATACGAAAATTGGAGAAAGCTATTGAAGAACGGAATGCAATCATCGAAGAAATTCAGACTAAACTCATAATATCCGAGCGAGCCTTAACTGAAGCAGTTTATCAGGTATCCTATATAATTTATATTCTTGTTGGCCTGATAATTTTTGTTAATATTTATGTAAACATTATATTGATATAAACATTAAATATTGTTAAAATATTTTTTATTCTAATTTTTTATTTCATAATTTCGGTTTTTCTGTTGAGTGGTGCTGAAATTACCAATTACTGTTTTCTTATGAGAACTGGATGTGATATATTAATGAGAGGACAGTAAGGTCGAATATTATTTTGCTTTTGCAATATATCAAAAATGGAAAACAATTAGTGCCTCGTCTATCCATTTGCAAAGTTTTTTGGGGAGGTCAGCCGAATAGAATATTGAATATCGTTAGAAAAAGTTCTATATAGAAAGTTTCATTTTACTTGTAATATTTTAATGTAATTTTTGAATTATATTTTTAAATATTACAAGTAATTTCCCTTCATTAGTCAGAATATTTAAAAAATTTGGTTTAATGGCAAGATAATTGCCAGTGAAAATTGAGGCTTGCATTCGATTCCGGTCGGATAGCAATGTCGACTAGCAAAAGAAAGTAGAACAGCATTGTTCAACTTTGATTACCTATACTTAAAGTTCTACTCTCCACAGGAGTAAACCTGTTCAAAAATCCAGATGATGCTGATGAGTCATCTATATTTCTATCGTCTAGAGATACCCTCTTATATTTATCCAGTCGGACAAGCCAGTGGAACGATTCTAACCAATAATGGTGAATGTTCTAAAAAAAGAATCAAAAATCGCCGAAAACATGTCAGACCTTATTAATATTTTCAAATAAGCAAAATTTCACGAATTCTTATTTTTTAGTTTTTGAATAATTTTTTTAGTTCTTTTAAATTTAAGGCTGGTATAAAAGTCAAATCAATTCATCAAGCTGAATCTAAGAAAGTGAATAGCGAGCAAATAATCCGATTCGCTAATCAAATCAGTAAGTCATATTCTATTGCTGCACCACTCCATTGGCAGCTTGGTGATCCTTCTCGACCATTTCCTACTGAAGTTCGTTCTTTCTACACTATTATATTTATATTCATTATTTGCTTGATCAGTTTAACAGTTTAATTAAACAATGAATCATTTTTCGAATCAAATCTTTTTATTCATCAAAAAACAAGTAACAATATATCATTATAATAAGAATACGATGCAGCTGATGCAATTTCCTATTTTTTGTCCAGTTGTTTCATCGATTGACTCATTCATCATTTATCATTTATTTTCCGAAAATGCTAAACAAAAGAAATTTAAATTTTGTTTTTTTCTCAATAGATACAGTGAAAGGATAGTCATTTTTGCCAAGTGGAAATTAAATCCAAGTCATTTTTTTGTTTTTTTATTTTTTAACTTTTTAAGATAGATTTCCGACTATCTTCATTAGCAGTACCTCGAATAACTGCGCCAGCAGCAACATCTGCGGCTACATTATCGCTTCTTAGACAGCCGTCAAATTCCCAGACAATATTACGAGGTTCTAGTCGTGGATCACCAATGGTATCATATTCTGCCTCCATGCAGCAAAGGTTGCGCAACGTTTCTTGATATTCACATGATAAATATAATTTATAATTTGATAACTGAAAGATGGAAAGTAATTAAGTAATTGTGAACTGAAATATTTAATTCTCGAGTTTTTTATCTTCTCTTCTTACTTATTAGTAAAATTTTTAATTTTCTATCGTTCCATTGTTATTAAGTTTCAGTCAGAAATTCAGGTCATGGAGTCCACGAGGATCATTTACTCAGCAGTCGGCATCACCTCGTGGTCGTGGTAGTCGTGGTAGTGGGTTGACATCGCCAAGAGTTGGTGGTCCAGCATTTTTGCAACGACGACAGTCTGGAAATAGTCCTCGAATTTCCAGTCCATCATCTGCATACACTATAGGAAATAAAAGCAACATAAATATGCCGTCTATTGAGCCTGCTATTGAGCAAATGAGCTCAGATTCTAGCAGTAGTTCGAGTAGTGATGATGGCAGCCCATCATAAATTGTTGTTGCTAAGTTTTTGCTAAAATATATGGGGATATTGATCACGATGGGCTATTATAAATTGTTCACTGCCAAATTTTCGATGAATGTCGATGAGAATATTGATCCATCTTGCTGTTTACGCAACGAGGTTCATTTCTTAATCTAGATTGTTGCTTATAGTGGAGATTATGATTATTAAGATTATTAATGATAATGGAAGAATTACAGGGTTGCTATTTTTTTTGGTTGGAATCATTCGTAATTTTTTTGAATTTTTAGTTTTATCATGTTCGTAATAGTCTTCAGTATTTTCACTTAATTTCAGGAAATTGAAGAAGATTCAGAATACAAAAATATTACAGAATTACAGAATTTTCCAGAAATTGCTTAGAATAGTTTCACTCTTCCACGGTCGTCAGTAGAAAAAATAAAACTGTTTATAGATCTAAACTATTTTCTATAAACAAATTATTTTTCTTATTTTTTGAATTATTTTCGTGTAATCTCCACTTTTTCTTAAAGAAGGAGTGGTTTGATTGAATTTAGAAAATAATATTTAAAATTTCAAAAAAGTTTTTTTGATGAACTAGCATGATTTTATTATATCGTTTTTTTGCTTGATTGCTTATAACTGTGATATACAAATGGTCGAATTATGGGTGTGTTATGAAAAATTGCTAACAAAAATTGTTATTCATTATTCTTTTCGATGTAGTGGTTATCGAGTTATCGAGCAGTGTTCAACATTATACCCAGTCTGTTTATAACGTCTTGCAATATCGATGTTATATTGTCATACTGATTCTTGAAAATAATGAAAATTTATAATATATAGGTCTAACTTGTGATAGTGTCGGAGAACCGATACATTTCCTCTTTCTTTAAGCAGTTGTTCTTGTTGATCCGTTTCAATAAAATTCATTTTAATCTTGTGATTATGAATTTCACGAGTTTATCGCATCATTTATCTCATATTCCTTTTTTAAATTTTTAGTTATACCCGAAATAAAAGCTTATGAAAAAAGCTTAAAAAACTTGAGTAATAAAGTATAAAAATATAAAAATTAACATGAAAATTGTACTTTCTTGTAGAATTGTTTCCACACATATATCTTTCATAATTGTTTCCACATATATTCTTTGAATTTTTCCGTTTACAGACCTCGTAAATGGCAACTCAGAGTTATAATCATACTGAAAATAGCAAAATGAACTCTGTGCTAAAAAAAGGTAAGGAGATTTTCATTCAGCTTTTATAAAATAAGTGAATATTTTTGTCATACGCGTTCAGTTTTTTTGGATGGCGAATGTTTTTTTTAATAAAATTTCTTTTGTGATTTTAGATCGAAAAAACGAAAGCACTTCGGAGAAATTTGATTTTTCAGAATTCGTGGAAAAAAGATTAGAAAATGTCTATGATAAGTTGTTCGCTGATCGCTATACAGTGGTATTCATTATTTTATCCTTTCTTTAAGATTTCGCTTGTCAAATTCTAAAAATTCTAAAATTTTCATTTTACAATTTATATGCTTTATTCTTGCAGTTAATTGGCTTTCTTTACATTTCAATTAATAATTTTCAATTTTCAAGAAATAATTCAAAAAGTTTTTATGAGAACAAGTTGTACGCTGAAATAGTGAATGACACTATGGAACCAATTGTCGTACCCAATTATCGTGGAAAGTTGTGATTTTTTCAATTTCCATTTTTTTTCAATTTTCCAGTTTTTTCACCTTTTTAACTTCAAATTTCCACGTTAATGGTTATTTATTAATTTTCGGTTAGGTGATCAAAATTCTGGGTCTTCAAGAAATTTTTTTCAAAAATTTTTACAAGCAAATATTTTGATTTGTTGGATTTTGCTAAATTTATCTTTCATTGTACCTAAATTTTTCATGCAATATTGTATGTTTAGCTACAAGAATAGAAATTCCAATTTCGATAGTCGAGAAGGTGGCCAGATTCCGAAGGATAGAAATTCTTATAACCCTCGCAAACGTAAAAATCCACCTGGCTATCCACGTCATTCACATCGCCAACATTAATGAAACCTGCTGTTGTTAATTCATCAATTTTGGTTAAATGGAAAGCAATGAATAGGTATTGTCTGATTATGTGATTACTATCTGATTGTAAAATATTATCTGACTGCGTTTGTTGAAATCCGGCAAGTTTTTGCAGATTTTCTGATCAAAAATTATATTCATTAAATTGCTAATATTTATTACTAATATATATGTAAAATATAAAATGTTTGCTTAAGATTTTTGATTTTATTACAATTTATAAAAATATCAATATTTGGACTCCATTTTTATTCAAAAAAATTTAAATCTTCCTCGTAGATCTTTCAAATAATATAATTGTTAAACAATTATATGATTAACTATAGCTATAGCAGATAAAATAAGAATGGAATCGTAGGTAAGTGTTTGTGCAAGGTATAAATATATTAATATATTCAAAATATATTCAAATATTTTCGACTTAAAAGATAATTTTAGAAAAGAAAATCTTAAAAAATTCACATAAATCATTAGAAACGATGATAAGAATTACTGGAGGTTTATTAGTATGCACTTGATAATAATCAATAATTGTATTATAACTAATCTTTTTCAAATTTGCCATTTAGAATACAGGTAACTGTTTGATTCTCGGCTTTTTTGTTATCATTAAATTGGTCAAAAATCTACTATTTGTCTTTATAAATATGGCGGCAAAATTTGTTCGCTTGTTCTGTAATAAGACACTTCCGTTCCACCTCTATCTCATTTATCTAGTTAATTCGCTCTTAAGAAATGCGAATTACTTTCTCCATTAATAAGTGTGGGGTATTATTGACTCAAATTGATTTCAAAATTTTCTTTTGCGCCTTCTACCACAATACTCCTCCATCTCTCAGTGATGTAACTGATCTCCATTTAACAGGCTAAATTGTGGCTTGTTTGTAATAATCTGTCCAACTTTTGAAATATTTCCATAACATTTAAAATTTAATAATTTTTAATTTAAAATTGAGCTATAGAATTAATAAAGGTGTACTTATATTTTGCTTCATATTTAAATCTTTTGATCAGCCAATTGCTGTTGCATTCTGCCTAAAATTAAACGCCAAATGTTATTGTTTAACAAATAAATGTTTAATGTTTAACAAATAAATGTAACCACATGTATATGATAAAAAAATCTTCGGTAATTAATTATAATTTTATTATTTTATAGTTATTTCATTTTAATTTTTATGAAAATATATGAAATTATGAAAATTATATTTATATTTTAAATGTTGGCAATATTTTGTCATCACTATATATATTGTAGTGACAATGATGATAGGTTCTACGTAATGATAACGATAGGTTTTATAGACGGAATTTCAATTATCAACATCTCTTATTATAATTGGAGGAGACTGGAATGCTTACGCTGATTGCAGTGCAGCACGGTGAATCCGAAATTGATGAGCAGGATATTGGGGATGCGGTGCGCCAATGGAGAAAGTTTCCGCCGAACTTTTTGTCATGAACTTTTTGTTTCCGGTGTCGGAGAAGGCACGTGAAATTCCTTTTAGTAGAAAATGCTCTATAGCTGCGTATCGGAAGTAATGGAGGTTTATCCAACTTTCTGGGAAAGGCTGCCAAAGCACAAATGTCGAGAGATCTTGACATTACAACGACAGGAGTACGGCGGGGATCGCTTTTGGAGTGATATGGCTTTGCAAATAGAGTCGGCGGCTTTAGGCGACAATGTGGAACTATTCAGCCTTTTTCACAAAGCAATTATAATTCGGAGGACGATCAGTGAAATGATACGGTAGAATAATAATGTGCCCGTTAATGCTAATATGGATTGAGCCATAAGGAAGGAATCAAACTTAACCAAGGTGCACCATCTATTGTTTCGGATATAGCTAATTCGCTCATCGAACCATAAGTTTATAAATGCAAACCAACAGAACGCCAACAGAAGAGGAAATAATCTATTATTTATTAAATTTAAGGCCAATAAAACTACCGAAGAAGATTCAGGCTTTATTCTTTGCTAAATTCCAGGCTTAATTCGTCCATCGATCTTCATAAAATTCCTTCAATAAATGTAATCTGTGGTATGGAAGAAAGCAATAGTACCAGACGACTGCAGTTTTATTGGCCCATGACAAAGCAATTTTGCCGCCAATTCTCGAAAAAGATGATAGGTTGTATTGTGTTAATTATCGAGGTACGGACAACTATAGCTATAAATGCGTCCTTCTGATTGACGAAACCTTTATGGAGTCGTCACAGCGAAGGTCCAGATCCATTTATTTGCTTAATTTTGCTATATGTCTGCGAGACATAGCTGATAGGATGGAGGATATTAAGAAGTTATCTTACTTTGACCACTCATATCTAAGATATATTTTGCGGATCCGCCAGGCGGATAAAACCTCATATGATTGCATCCACTATGACTCGGGGAACGATCAATGAAATCGTAAGAGACAGTAATGGCGTACTGATACTCAAAGCTATTAAGAATCGCCTCATAAAATAAGAAGAAATAATTTCTTTGAGGCTAAACTTAACCATGAAGCGCCATCTTAAGACCTTAAACGCGTTGCCCCTGATATAGCTGATACGTTTGCCGAAGCATACGCTTCCAAGCCTCCAACAGAAGAAGAAATAATTTCAATTATCCATAAGCTTAAGGCCAACAAAACTCCAGAAGAAGATGGTCTTCGGGCTGAGCTTTTCAAGTGCTGTCCATCGTTCTTCATAACGCACCTTCAACAAATATACTCATTAGTATGGAAAAAAGAAATATTACCAGATGATTGGAGCAAAGCAATTCTGTATCGAGGAATCAGCCTAGTTGACATCTCCGTAAAAATTTTTGCTTCCCTTTTACTCAACAGACTTATGGAAATACGGGACAGCAAGATGCACCCTAATCAAGATGGATTCAAACCGGGGCGTAGTTATGCTGACCAGATATTCACGTTAAGAAAGGTGTTAGAACATTACTTCAGATATTTGCATAAAAGATTTTGAACGTATAGGTGGACCAGCAATATATGGACTTAAACGATGGAAAAAGGAATGGCTTCCTTTACTGTTGACGATATCATCAGACCGCGCCGCTAGGAAGCGTCTTACCTTTGTAACCATTGGAACCAGCCTAACCAGTAATGCTGTTAGAAGAAGAAGATTGCATCCACTTTCGCTAGTGAAGGTACGTTCTTCGTCGTCGAAAAAAACTTGGGAAAAAAAATTTCTCCCACAGGAGAAAATTTAACTATTTTACTATTTCCTAACCCTGTGAAAGCCAAGATGGTTAATCAAAATTTGGACTGATACAATAGGAAAGATTTTGAAAGTGTACCAGCGATATATGAACTTAGACGGTAGAAAAGGGAATGGTTTCTATTTCTGTCAGCGATGGCGTCGAACCGGACAGCTCGAAAACATCTTACGTTATAGCCAAGGAATCAACATAACCAGTAATAGCCGTTAGAAGAAAAAGAAATATTTCGTTGTAATGGATAATCCGTTTCGATTCTTGAATATTTGTAAATTCTAACATTCGACTATAATATGTGACATGAAATTTGCTTATAGCTTTAATAATGATGAGAATCTTCCTTTCGATCTTTTTACTAGATTTCTGGCAAAGAATTTTTCCAAAAGATTAATTCTTTAGATTTTTTAAATATGAAATGGAAGCCCTATTAAATATAACTATGCAACAAACCAAATGGATAATGCTTGTCTCTTCTCTGAATGCAATGAAGTTAACCCTGTAAATTTCAATCTAAATCTCTAATCAAAATCTAAATCAAAGATTATCTAAATCCTGATAAATCTCTCATTACGAATTATTAGTATTACGATGATAAACAATTAGAATTAAAGATTTTTAGAACTATTTCTAGAATTAAAATTCAAAACTGTTTTATTATTGTTATTATTATTGTTATTGTTTATCTTAAAATTGTTTTATTCATACTACTAATTATTTGGACCTTGCACCGCGCAATTTGAGCATCGTTTTTGGATCATATTCAAATGATTTAAGGAAGTCACACATGAGTGAAATTTTTATAATTTCAAATCATCAATCTCTAATTTTATTGGAAAGCGAATCCAATAAAAGAGGAACTTAAAAAAATGAACCAAATAGAACGAAGAGTTATGAATAAATAAAGAAATAAAGAATAAAGAAATTAATGATTTGGCTTAAATTGTTTTCAAAATATTTTTTTGAAGTTCTGGAGTGTCGTTTGTTGGCTGAAATTGCCTTGCGAAGTGTATCGTACTGAGAGTTAAACGTTCGCATTCCGCTATTACTATTAGTAAATCCCTCATTTAATTTTTTTCTTCTAATAATAGTAAATTCTATTCGCTCTGCTGATTTAAGATAAAAAAAATTAGCTTTTAAGCTAATTATGATATTGTAATTAATCGTTTTAAAGAGAAAAGCAATCTCGCATAAGTCATAACAAATAATTGACTTTTAATTTGAAATAAGAACCATTTCTGGTTAGGCTGGCATACTGATTTATCGAACCCAGCAAATTTGCTAAAGAATTACTTAATAATGGAAGTACAAATGAGTCGCCAGCAGAGTTGCGTATTCTTGGGAACAAATTTACTGCTGTCTGGAAACTCAACATCGGCGCTCCCGAGATAGAACAACAACCCATTAAGCCATTCTATCCGACATTATATTTGATTACTTGATATTCTCACTTATCTTCAGTTTTCTCAGTTAATAGGTTTTCTTGGAGAATTAACGATAAAATTTCTTTAATTGAAATTTAATAACCAAGCATGGAAATAAAGTCACAAGCTTGTATGCAAAGAACACTACCATTTCTATCATTGTATCTCTTCATTGGGTTCTTAGAAATTCTTTGCTCAGAAGTCACGAGAAAACAGAGTCATAATATTGCCACCTGAGGAATTGAAGGATCAGCTGACCGACCTCTTCAGAATCTAGAAAAATTAAAAGCTTTTAAGGTAATTATGACATTACAATTAAAAAATTAATAAATATATAAGAATTTAAAATTTAAATGAAAATAATTATGATATCATAATATATCATAATTATAATTAAAAAAAGAAAAAAGTGCTGTGGGAAATTCGCCATTGATACTCTAAACTTCTCTTAGAGTGTTGACCTGCTGAGAAAAATTCTATCTTTAACACTGCTACTTAATGAAACCTGAGAAAAGGAATTCAAAAAAGTATTATATCCCAAAAATGCAGTGAAATATCAGTAGCCATCTAGAGAAATAAAAGATGACAAACCCGCGAATAAAAATTCTTCCATCGCACTCGAAAACAGAAATCTATATGCTTACCGACCTCATGTTGTTGATAAACTTGAAACGTAAAACCTACCTGAGTTGTTCAGCAATTTTGGTGAAAGGCAACATATTTATGTATTATTTGGACATATTGCATTATCTTTGATGAGATAGTTCTATAAATCTACATAAATTTGCTGAATTTAATGTGTAACAAAAACGATTTTCTATGTATTTTTATGTTTTTTTATTTGTTGTTCCTATATTTATACAAATATTAAATATTTATATGTGATAAAGAATTTTAAATTTTGGTAAAACATAGAAATATCAATATTGCTATATCTTATATTTGGACCCTTAAAAAACCTGTTTAAAAAAAGCCTAAAAATAGATGACATGTCGTAAATATGTCAAATTCCTTAAGCAATGTATTTTTTAAATAAAAAATCAATGAAATCATAGTTTAAGCGGATGATGAAATAAAATAAACGACTTATTTTTCTATACATAATAATCTTAGATAAAATTTTTAAGAATCTTGGAAAATAAAGATCATTGAGAATGAATATGAATTACACTAAAGTTGAATGGAAGACCATTGCAACAAGTCACAATCGACCAATCTCTTTATAAAATTTTACAACTTTTGCACCATAAATTCGCCAAAAAATATGTTCACCATAAAATGCATAAAATCTGAAAATTAATTACTTAATGGAGAAAATTTTCTGAAGTATGTATAAATTTGGTATGTAAAAAAAAAACATACAGTCCGAAAAGACTTCCACCGAGATGTGCAGCATGATCAAATAATCGAAATTTGAATAAAATCCCAGCTAAATCGAATAATATCAAAGCAATTATTGCTGACTGAGCAGAAAAGTCGAATGTTGGTAGAAATACGAATTGCAAACGTGACCCCGGAACAAGAGCGCAAGTGTAAATTAACAATGCTAATATGGCACCACTCTAAATATCAACAGTAAATTTATAAGACATGCTTGTCAATTACACTTTGATTTGAGAAATTTTTAACACTTAACATTGACTTTTACATTTAACATATTCGAAAAAACATACAGCGCCAAGAGCTCGAATAGGAGATCGAGTAATACATTTATGGAGTATGCTTGTAAATGAAGATACAGCCGCTGACGTTAAATAAAATGCTGCAAACTAAAAATGTTTTTCATCATTATAAGCCTTATTATTATAAATCAATCAATCGTTATTTAAGAATCTTGACAATAATTTCAAAAAAAAAATTCTCAAATTTTCAGAAACCTTTTTTTTAGAATTTAAACTTTTTAATGACATTGTTATCTAATTAACAATTTTCTTCTAGTTTAACTTCTTTGCTTTTTATTTTTTCTCGTGGTAAAGGTTAACAAACAATAAAAAAAAGAATTAATAAATAATTTAATAAGAAAACTCATTTTCCATACTAAAAATTATTTATCATTGACATTAATAGGAATAATAATAAATAATAATTAATAACAATAAAATTAAAAAAATAAATAATTAATAAAATTAATAATAATTAATGATTATTAATTAATAATAATAAACATCCATTTAGTTAACTTCTTTTTACTTATTAATAAGTAATAAGTAATTATTAATAAGTATCATATCAGAAAATTTACGAACTTGATTTGGTCCTAGGAACCTGTCGATTATTGCACCACCAAAAGAATACAAAACATACATATTTAGTGCGAGATGTATTAAATTCAAATGCGAAAAAGCACTCAATAACATTGGTGAGCATAAAGCTCCTAAAATTATTTATTTACGATTTATTTACGATAGTTTCATCTTCGCTATAGAAATAAAATTAAATAATTATGTTTTCACTTATTTGCTCCAGTTAAATCGGAGATACTATTGTTTGACTCATTAAAATGAAAAATAAAAAAAAATATTGGAATAAAAAAAGTTCAAACTGATTTTGATATTAAAAGTAAACATGGAAGGATTCAACCAATGTAAATATGGAAGAAATGATCTTGCTAAAATTCCTATGGTGCAGAAAGACGATATTTTATCAATTAATTACTTATAAACATTCTGTATGAAGTTTTTTTCTTAAAATTGTTTTTTTTGATTTTCTAAAATTCAATTTTTTTTAAATTTTCGCTCACCTTATGCTAATATATTAAAAAAATATAATGCTTGTCTTCGACAGTAATAAATCTGCAATACCAAAAATCTGGGTGGCTATTGAGGACCCACCTATAACTCTATGGTGAAAAAGTCAAATATTCATTTTAAATACAGTTGTACCCGTCTGCATCTCGCGCATGATATTCCCATTCCAGTACTACATACGATAAGTATACAATCTGAGTATAAAACGATCCCAACGATCATAAATATGCCCAAGACAACTGCTCGAAACCTATCAAGATGTTAGCCGTTCTAACGGAAAAAGCCAAAATAATTTATTACAAAAAAACAAAGGACTCTTCACAATAATGAGCTATTTAATATCCAAATCATTCAAATCACATCTGTTAATTTGTTAATATTTATAACGAAAAGAGTTCACGAATTTTAAATACAGCTGTGAAATAATTGTACCTTTGAAAAAAAAATAATAATAATTTCTATACAATTTTTATGGTTTTTTGATTTGCATAATATTTGCATAATAGCTCAATCTACATATGGGAAAAAAAATAAGTTTAGAATCAGTTCGAACGACAAATGGGAACACAGATCAATTTTTTTCGCTCAAACCAGAATTCAACGCGTCATTCTCCTTCTTCCTTAACTCTTCTCGTCTCCTTGACCAATTATTATACTATTGCAATATATTGTTGGTATAATTCAACGGAAAATAAAACTTTTCTCTTTCGAGTCAAGATGACTTTCACGACAAAATCAACGTGGAACATCAGAACGTTTATAGACGATCACTATCAAGACTTGTTCTAAATACAGTGTGGATATCGGCTCCTTTCGGAGATCTATCTTCCTTATTTCTGGTCTCGAATAATTATTAATCCTGGCTCGAAGCAGAGATACTGGCTATATTATTGTTATGTTTCTGATAACTCGGAGCAAAATGGCGTGGCGATCGTCATGACTGACAAGATCTATTCTCTATACCGCTTTGATTGAGTGGAAATCGGTAAGCGACTGTATGATCTATGTCCGCTTTAAAGGTAAGTTCTAAAATATCTCGGTCATCAATGTCTATGCTCCAACTTTGTTGGCAAATGATAGTTATAATGATAAATTCTATGCGGAACTTTGATTGTCAACACATCTCGACGAAACATGACATGATCACAATCGAGAATGGGATGCCCAAAGTCATGATGCTGCTGCGATGACCTCGAATTGGCAACTACGGCATATGAGACTGGGTACGCCAATGGAGAACGCCTTCTTCGTAATGCCGAAGAGCATGAATTTTACATGAACTGTGGCTAATACTTGCTTCCGGCATCGTAGAAAACATCTAGTCACGTGGAGCTCCTTATCAATCAAATTGATTACATCTTAATAAATAGCATCTTATCACATTTTGGATGGAAGAGTTGCGTAGATAGTCGTTTCAATTGCAGCGACAACATTCATGGATCTGATCACATTATGATCTGAGCCAAGATCTGCATAAAATTGATAACTTGCAAGAAATAGCATCCCTCAAGATCGTTCAACTATCTCAAATTAAAAAACTCCGGGATAGTGCATCTCAAACCGAATCATTGAAGCACCTCAGTGGTATAAATATCAATGACTTTTCTAAAACGGCAAATGAATGTTGGTCCAAACTAAAGGGATGTCTCTAAAAGTCAGCCAGTTCCATGCTAGGGCATACTAGGAAATGTGCTAGTTGGGTGTGGGAAGCAACTGTCCAACTGTTTGAAAAGGCTGCCAAAGCACGAATGTCAGCGGATCCTAGCTACTGCTTAGAAGAACTGACAGGAGCATGGCGAGACAGAAATCACTATTGGAGTGGCATAGCCTTGTAGGGAATGGAGACGGCGGCTCGAATAGACATAATAACAAGAAATTATTCTGCCTTCTTCAGCTATCACACAGAGAAGAAAAAAATGGTAAGTGAGAGCAATGGGGTGCCTGTTAAGAATATTAAGGATCGCCTCATGAGATGGAAGGAATTTTTTGAGGCTTGAGGCCAAACCACGATGCGCCATGTATTTACCAGGACATAGCTGATACGTTCGCCAAAACATACGTTCGTTTGCAATTGCGAACCGCCAAAAGAAGAAATAATCTCCGCTATTCATAAGCTTAAAGGGAATAAGAGAAGATGGTCTTCGAACTGAATTCTTCAAATGTTGTCCATCGTTCTTCATAGCGCACCTTCAATAAATGAATTTTCTGGTATGGAAGAAAGAAATACTACCAGATAACTGGAGCAAAGCAATTCTATTCCCAATTCCGAAGAAGGGTGACTGCGAAAATTATTGAGGAATCGGCATATATTAGACGTTTCAGCTTCTTTTTTCCCTAATAAACTTGGTAACGATACGCCCTAATCAAGCTAGATTCAGACGGGGAGGCGGTTGTGCTGACTAGATAAGAACGTTAAGAAGGTTGAACATCGCTTCAAATATCTGCAACACACCGTCACGTGTTTTATCGATTTTGCGGATGCCTTCGATTTATTTGATAGGATGGCGCTTTGGAGAATGATGGAATGCGACTGTGTTCCAAAGAAAATCATTCGACTCATAAAGGCATTTTATGAGCGTACGTCGGCGCAAGTCTGCGTATATGGGGAGCTGACAAATTCTTCGAAATAAGAACAGGTGTCCGTTAGGGATGCGTCCTTTCTCTCAAAATATTCAACTATGCGATAGACTGGATAATGGACACCGCTTGTCGGCACTGAGGTGTCCAAACTAGTCCAGAGCATCGTATCACAGACCTTAAATACGCTGATGATGCAGTCCTTTTTGCTGATAGTTATAACGGAATGCAAATAATACTAAATAACGTGTCCGAAACTGCAGTAAGAGTTGGATTCAGGGTCAATATAAATAAAACGAAAATCTTTTCGTCTTATCTGCAAGAAGATGATAAAAGATGTGCCTCTTTTAAACTCATAAACTCATTTCTGGTTAAGGAAGTGCGAAATATATTAAATCCACTCTAATATCGAATAGCAAGGCAAAAAACGAAAATAAAGCCCAAATAACGACAGCTAAAAGTGAGTTCTTTCGATTGACGAAATCTTTATGGAGCTATCGCGAAATCACCATAAAAACGAAAGAACACATCTATATAGCCGCGATTCGTTCGATCAAGCTATAAGGTTGCGAGACATGGCTAACGAGAGTAGAGGAGATTAAAAGGTTATCTTTGATCATTCATATCTAAGGTACAGATCTGTCGAGCGGATAAAATATCACATAATCACATCTACCTTCATTCAAACACCACCTGTATTAACAACGTTATCACATCGCCTTCGCCTTCGGTGGTTAGGACACCTTCTCCGTCGTCCACCACAAGAGTTGTCGCATTTCTCGTTACTTGCTAAATTCTGCGATGGCATCAAAAACGAGGCAGGCCAATCAAAACCTGGACTGACATGGTCAAGAAAGATTTTGTACAAGAGAACCAGCAATATATGGACTTAGACGACGGAAAAAGGAATGGCTTTCATTATTGTCCATGATGGCATCAGATCACGCAGCTCGAAAACGATTTACCCTTGAGGAGCCTGCCTAACTAGTAATGGTGGGAGCTGTTAGAAAAAGAAAATTATCAAAAGCAAAAATAAATAGACCTGATGAAAATGAAGTAGTAAACCATTTCCACATAAAAGGCTCTAATGGTTTAATTTTCCACAACAAATACACTGCAGTATTGAGTACTATAAGTGTTAAAAGGCATCTTTTTCCATCACTCAAATCTGCAAACCAATTATTTTGTATCGCTTGTTTAAATTTTTCTAACACTGACAGTTCAAATGACGATATCTGCCTCCAGTGTTTAAATTTTTTTCTTATAGCTCTTTCATAATCAGCTATTGGAGCGATCGTGAATGAAACAGCACCCACCTAAAAATTTTCGATTACTGAACATTCAGTTAATAAATTCTACCTTCTAATATCTTCGCTGAATAAAAAGGACAAATCTGGCAAATAATAAATAATAATAAAAAGATGTAGATAATGGCTAGAAGATTTAAGAGACCTCAGATTCACCAATCAACTATAGGAATAAAAGCGAATGATAAATGAATCGTATAGGCCGAAGATAAATTCCAAAGGGTTTGCCGTAAAAACTTAATTGAAAATAAGAAAACTGACTCCAATGGCGAAAGCAAACGCTCGCCAAAGATGTCGACGAGGCCGAAGTCCACTTTTATCTGCTTGGATTGTCTTGCCTTTAATATTTTTATATTTGCTTCGTAGATCTTTTATGCGAAATCTACTGAAGCATATTTGATTAATCCATACATTTCTCGAAAATTTTCCTTGAAACAATCGAAATAAAACCATTCTCAAAATTTTAATTCTAATTTCTTTTTTTCTGAAAAATTTGCAAACTGCTTTATTTAGGAAAAATTATAATTTCTCGGGCAAAAGAGACAAAATTTAAAATGCAAAACAAAGTATCCTTGTGATAATTAATTAATAAAAACAAAAACTTTGCTTTTGAAAATTTTTCAGGCCAAATGAATGTTACCCTGCCGAGAAAAATTTCAAAAACTGGAAAACAGAAAAAAATTTCATTTTTATGACAAAAAAACATTAAAATTTGTTAAAATAAAAAAAATAAAAATCAAAATAAGAATGAAAATGAAAATAAGAAAATTTGATAACTTAATGAATGACAAACGAGCGAACAAATCAGTTCAAGGTTAGCGCTTGTCATTTTTGGTAAAACAAGCTCATGAATAAATTTTTTCAAGTGATCATTTTATCATATATCCATTCTATTTTTTTACCCAGATAAATTTTGTCATTAAAGCAGAAATCTGCTTGCTGGGAATACGCATGGAATTCTATCTCCTTAAAGAAGAAATCACTATAAAAACCAGTGTAACTAGGATCCAAGAATCGGTCTAGACAAATATATCAGGGAGTTCCCTAGTGACAGAAGTACAAGTGAATCGCCACCACGCTCAGATTTTTGAACAGGTCTGTTCCTGCTAGGAGCAGAATTTCAGCACCGGAGCTGAGAACTGAATAAAAAGCGACTCCCGTCGACGAAAAATGGTGCCTCGATTCTAGGTGGCAAGAAACGCACATAAGAATTACTGCAGTTTACTCAGACTACAAGCGAATTTTTCTAAACAAAATCACAAAAAACAATTCTCAGTAATGATACATTTGCTACAGTAATGCTACAATCCACGGCCACAGTCGGTTTATGATTGGTTCAAGCACCCAGTTATTACACAAGCATTGAATAAGCTTGACCTCTAACCCAAAGAATTCTGACAACAAGCATCTCATCCAAAGCTTAAAAATGAACCGTGGTTTTGGAATGGCGGCCAATTATCGTATTTGAACTTTCGTTTCAAGAGAAATGATTGTTTGAAGAATTATAGGAAGAAAAGGATAGCAGTCTCGTGCTTTTCCAATTATTGTATAAATAATTGTTGATGCTTTCCAGTGGGGATTTTAAAGTTTGGGCCATTAGGTTTGGATTTTTTCATTTTCGTAAATTACTCATCTAAAAATATCGAATTAAAATTTTTTTGATGGGTCTATATCACGAGGCGAGTGATGCTGGCGACTCACCTGTACTTCTATCGCCAAAGGACTCCCTGGCATGTTTGCCCAATGTGACAACCCAGTGGGGCGAGTTTAACCGGTAATGGTGAGTACTCTTGAAAAAAATTATCACAATGGAGGAGCTCATAGGTGAATATTACTGCCTGTTAATTCCTCCAAAATTGAAGGCATGGTGAAGGACCGTAGAGAAATGAATAATACAAAAGAAAATTCTTAAGGGAATATAAAAACGATGCGATCAGGCAAATTTTATTGATTAAAAGCAAAAATTTAATTCTCATGGCTTTTCTTTTGTGAAATATTGGTTGAAATTATTATTTAAATTATTCAAATTAACCTTAAAAACTATGGCTCAGATCGATAAGTCCTTTCAATTTGGATAGTTCGTTGGGCTAATTTTTCTTTTCTTTTCCATAAATCAATATTAAATCTTCATATTGAATCTTTTTATCTTTTAAAACTTATTGCCATATTTAAAATTATATAAATTATTTTAAAATAAATTTTGTTTCATAGAAATAAGATTATTTTACGCTTAAAATTAACGGAGAAAGTATGAAATTCCTAATTTATGCATGGAACGATTTCATATTTTCGTCAGCTGGTTAATTTCCGAGAAAAAATTTCGACGTAGCAAGCGTATGTCCATTCTTGTATATTTTTGCGGCCGTAAAACGGACCAGCATTTGGTGGGGCCATGTTTATTTTTAACATCAGTTTCTTTGATATTTGTTCACTAAGCTTTGGGTAATTTTTACCTATTCTGCTGGTATGTTTAGGCTTTATGGATCTTGATCGTTAATATGTCTTTCAATTCAGGAACGGAGGGTTTGCTAACCTACTTTTGGTTTTAGATTTTCATAATAACATAATGTTTTTCACATTTTAATCTTGTTCGGTAATTTTCTCTCTGTAAATATTTGGTAACAAATATTAATGAAAGCTAATGAATTAAATCGATAAATCATCAAAAAAATCTAATGAAATAAGTTGAATTAAGTTAATAACTAAATAATGAATAAATAATGACCAAAGGAAATCGAATGTTTTGCTTAATTTTGCTCGATTATTTTTTGCAGAAAAAAAGGACTCTGTGGTTTTGTTTACAAATAATGTTTCGTAATCAGTATGACAGTGACGTTACTGTTTGGAGCCCTCAGGTGAATATATTTTCAATTGGTTTTGATTTCAATAAATTATTCCTTTCAATTACTGATTTGCGCTTTGTTTTGTTAGTAGCATATTTTTTTTTCATTTTCTTTAAACCATTTTTGCCTTGGCTTCTACCACTTACTGTTGGAATAAGACCATTTTTTATGTTGCTTGTAGGTAGAGATGGATCTCCATCACCTGTAGAATTTTAATTTTAATGATAGATTTTCCCTCATTAAAGAAAGGGAAAACGTCAGGTGCAATTCATTGTATTAAAATTCATACACTTGTTTATTTCGATTAAAGGATAATGAAAAAGTTATCAGTTTTTTAGTTTTATGGTGATTTTTAATAGTGATTAGTTTTTACTAATATTTAATTTATGGTTTTTTTAAAAGTATCCATTTTTGGTTAGGTCTTCCAGCGGTCGGATCTTCCCAGTGAGTGCCTAAAATTACAAATGAAAGTAACACCATTCGGATTTTTGAAAAATGAATTTACTTGGGAGGAAACCCTAGCATCAGCGCTCAGAAATGAGAGCCACTGAGATATGTTACTCCTATTCGATTAATTGAAAACAGTTAATTGTTAATCGTTTTTAGTATCGAATTTATAGAATTTATAGAATTGAATTGCATTTATAGAGTTGTTTGTTATAATTGTTTTTTGAATAAATTTTTGATTATTTAATAGACAATATTTTAAAATAATACTAGCAGTTTTTTATTAATAGTATATTTTTGAGGGTAAACTTCATCAAGTGGATTATGCTGTGGAAGCAATGAAACAAGGCAGTGCTACTGTTGGTATAAAAAGCAATACCCATGCCGTTTTAGTTGCTCTTAAGGTTTTTTTATATGGTAATATTATAGCAAGTAACTTACTTTTAACTAACTTTTCAAAATTATGTATTAATCACATATACCGCAGAATTTGCGGAAATTTTGTGTAAATGGTAATTGATTTTGTTAATGCAGTTCTTAAAAGTATTCAATGCTGGTTTGCCTAGTTTTACTGACTTAAGTGAGATTATTTCGACGAAAAGTCATAGGAAAGGCAGATGGGTCTTTAGCACGTCCTAGTTTATACTTCAATGCTTATACAAAATAATTGTTTTCTTCAAAAAGCTGAAGTTCAAAATTGAGTTTACGATATTTGCTCTTATTCGGATCAATATGTTGCCTTATTTCTTCCCCCTTAAAACAAATAAATATAATTTTGATACAGTTAAGAAAAATCTGTTTTATTTTATTTTCCAGAAATTTAATTTAATTTTTCCATTAAAAATTATGTAAAAAGAGAAATTTATTAGGGCTATTAATGAAATTATTTTTATAGCGAGCAGCTAATGAATTATGTTCTCATCAGAAGAAGATATACGAAATCGATACACATGCTGGAGTATCCATTGCCGGTCTTCTTTCCGATGGAAGAATATTGGCGTATGTTTTCTTCTTATACTTGAATAATATTGTTATATTGTTCTTCAGCACTTTTTTGCTAAGCTGTTTTTTAGACGATATTTACGGACTGAATGTGCTGCATGGAGATGGGATTATAAAGAACCTGTGCCCATTCAAATTCTTAATGATCGAATTCAATTGAGTAATTTGTCTTTCTTATTTTTATTAAGACTACTTTTCATTAACTCATGCAATCTTTATTATTAACTGCAAAAAAAATTTTCCGCTTTTATTCTTTAAGAGCTTCAAGCAAATACGCAACATTATGGAAGGCGTCCTTTTGGAGTTGGTTTTATAATCGCCGGTTATGACGTGAGTTCATTTTTCGATTATTCACATTTTTGGTTATGCTTATACAAAATAATTGCCTGCCCTAAAGATTTAAGAAAACAAAAAATGTCAATAAAAGCTGTTGAAACATTATTTACCTTTAATTGTGAATGCTGCATCATTTTCTTGCCAATAATTTCTCGATGAAAAAAGCTCATTCTATACTTTACCTGCAATGTTTCTAAAATATAATATCCATATACCCTTTTGCTTTTTCCACAGTAGTAAAATTCATTATGATTTGGGTGATCATGGATAATTATTCATTATTTTGTTATATATGGATAATTATTTTGTTATATAATAAATGATTTACAGGAAAAGGGGGCTCATATCGTCAAGACAGATCCGTCTGCAGAAGTAGTTGAAACGTATGCAAGTTCAATAGGTGCTCGATCCCAAAGTGCCCGCACTTACCTTGAGAAAAATATGGATGAATTTTATACTGGTCTATTATCGATTAAATGAAATATTATCGAAAAATATTTTAAATATTTTTAAAGTATTTCTTTATTTATAGCATCATTGGATCGATTAATCGAAATGGCTCTTTTCGCACTTCGCGACACTTTGCCAACAGATGATGTTCTTTCTCAAAAAGTTAGTTCATTATACGAGAATTAATTAGATTTCTATGATATTATGCAAATTTTTAATATGCAGATTTTGTAGAATTCATTATATCGTCAACGAAATAAGGAAATTTCATAACACTTATAATGTCAGTTTTTGTTTAAATTTTCATACAGATTTGCATTGACTTTCCAGAATACAACAATAGCCGTAGTCGGCAAAAACACGCCATTCAAAGTAATGGATGATGAAGACGTTAAACCTTATTTGGATCGCATAGATAGAATACCGCGAGCAGGTATTCAAGCTGAGGTTAGTTCCTAAATAATTCTCACCCTGTTTATATTAAGTGAAATTTTAAAAATATCGCTTGAACAGAATATTTAATTTGTTGATAAAATTAAGTCTAATTAATTCCATCTGCAGACAGAACCAGAGCCTATGCAGCCGTAAATCGTTATGAATTTAACATATTTTAAATCTTTGCATTGATTCTATTTCGAACTGTGAAGGAATAAACTACTGAGTAATAAACTCTTACTACGCTTTTTATATGCTCATTATAATTTGTTATTGAAATTTTTATTTAATTCTTAACGTAATAAAATTTGTTATCCATTAAATTTTATTATCATTTATTGCCGCCAGAAGGCGAAAATGCTTTCAGAAATTGAGAAGCTAATGATTTATTCCGTGAGGTATATTTTTAAAGATTTTTCCATGGCCGGGAATAATCCAGTTAGCGACTTGAAGTATTCTGAAACGACTCTCCTGTTGTCGACTCGGATATCTACTATTTCGTTGCCAGTCGTCAGCTTTGTCATCTTCGAATATATCACCTTAATGCAAATAATAAGTACTAATCATGTACTAAAACTAACAATGAAGTTCTTTAGCTATTTAAATATTTCGTAATGTTTTACCAGCGACTACCGTAATTTCTTCATTGGAATTAAGGACAATTACGCTTAAATCGTGATCTGTATGCCCAGGAGTCCGTAAAATCTTCACACCATCGGCTATTAGGTGATTGTCCTGCAAGTGGAAGCGTATACTTGCTATTTGGTTAGACTTAGACTTCGGTTTGGTTTCATTATTATTAGGCGTCCATAAATTAGGACATAAGGGGACATATGATTAAAAAATTCACCTCGAAATTTGTGTAAAGTGCATTTGGTTCCGCTTGGTCATTGTCCATATAGATAGTAGCCCTCGGAAACATCGACAGATTTCCACAATGATCGATATGACCATGAGTTATTACCACATCAGTGATATCGCTACAGCGTAATGATCTTGAATTCAATGCTAAAAAATTGGCGATTTCGTTTGTCCATTGAAGAAATGCCCAATTTCAAATAAATTTGCAAAATTTCAAAAAATGGTAGTTGTCCTTACCTTTAGCTAATTCATTGCCATTCCATGGACTTCCACAGTCTACGAGGATTTTGCTTGTTTCATTTGAGATTAAAGTAACTGAACCAGATGCATTTATTGAACTCGAATCAGCTGATGGTTTTGCATATCCAACCAATATTTGAGTAATTTCCCACATTATTTTGCAAATGTATACAAGTAAATTTAGTAAATAAAATATGAAATTCACCTTCTATTTTAAACACTTTTTAGTCAATGTTCGGCTATAGATGTATTCATACATTTTGTTGCCTAGTTTGAAGGTCGAGGAAAATTAAGACGTCTTGAAGGATTTCTCATAAAATTTAGGCAAATTGCGAAACAAGTAAACTCAAATAAAACCAATTTCAACTGATTTGTCTAAAAAACGGCACTGGGGCTTTGTTTCGTTTGTATTGAAATACAAATGTTTCAGAATTCGACGGCCCACGACACCATGTGCAGAAATCTTCGATGTTTTTTAAAACAGTTTTTCTTGTTCATGAATAATTCTTTTCTCAGATCATAGGCAATTCAAAATCTATGAATCCAATCCCATTCAGTGGTTCATCCAACAAGGACAAAAGGAAATAAACTACCAGTATATATATATATATATATATAAACATGCTTGTACACATGGAGTGAATTTATTTTAAAAAATCATTTAATGAAAGCTTTGAATATAAATCTTTATGACAACTTTTCCAATGTAATATAATAATATAGGACAAACAATATAATACAAGTGATACAATTCTGCGAGAAGCGACAATCATACACTAAAAAAAATACAATAGTTTTTAACATTTTTTGCTCCAAACACCTCTCAGCTAAGATACACCCATATAACCACTGGTCATCGATGATAATATTACATTTTATGCCAACTATTGAGGAAGCGCAGAGAATGAACATTAAATCTCAATAATAAATACTAGTCGTGGTCATCAACTTATAATTATGTATTATTTGAGGATATACAGAAAATACTGGGTCCGTAAGAACTGGAAATAAATAAACATCATATTTGAATGATCAAAAAAACACCTTGAAATAAAAAGAGTAATCAAGTGTATAATACTCAAAAGGATCAAAATAAAAATCTGATTTCAACCTTATCAACTTTGCAAATGCGCAAGAATAAAAAGCAGAAACTCATTACCAAGTAATTTTCAAATCAGTTTCAAGGTTTAAATCACATCTTTGTTTCAGAAGATTCAAAGCATTGTCACGGCTCATCGCACATATGTTATGCGGAGCTAAGACTGATGGCGCCATTTCATTAGGAATTCGTTTTAATTCATCGAAAAGAAGTAAAGATATTGCTTTGGGCAGCGAAAGAAGTCGCAATGAAGTAATAACACCGTTGAATTTCTGGAAAAATCCAAATTTGAATCCAGCAAAAAAATATATTTTATAATAATAATATAATAAATAATATAATAAAAAATTCAATCTGAACTGAAGAATTAATATTTAAATTTCTCTGAAGCTTGAAACAACTTTTAACAAGTCGATTAATCGATTGTACAAAATTTGAAAAACAAAAGGAAAAAAAGAACATTAAATCACCATACCGGTTCATCTAAAGCTTTCAGATTATGTAAACCATCATTGTAAAAGGAATTCAGCAGTGGTATTAATGAAGAAGAAATATCAAATAACATTTGTGAGGCACCATTGCAGCTTAAATATAATAAAATAATATAAATCTTAGAAAATCAAATCTGATCAAAAACATAATATATAATTTTAGACAGACATAAACTAACTTAAAGGATGTTGAACTAATTATTTCTAAAAAACATTCCGCAATTTTCTGATTAATTAACCGATAAAGCAAAGCTGCAGAATCAGGAGATATCGCTGACGAAATCTTTGATAGAAGCTTTCGTACTTCAAGTAAAAAAGGGAAAAAAGAAGGAGATATTTCCGATGCCTTCGTAGATTCTACAGAGAACCTGAAAATATATTATTTTTTAGTCCTTAAAATAACCGTTTTCAACAGAAAATTTTTAATATAAACAATAAGAACCCTTAAATCTCTAATACCTTCATTGTCCAGGTGGCTGCAGGGGAACACCTGCATCTTTATCCTCCAGTGACTATGTGTGGTGAAGGGGTAGGGGTAAGGAGTAGGGGTGAGGGATAAGTAAGGGATTTTTTGATATAGCGTCCGTTGCTCCTGACGCACTCCTAACATAGTGGTACATGCGATAAGTGTACAATCCGGGCTTAAAGTGATCCCAAGGCTGATAAATAAAATTTGCCCACAGCCAGGATAATTGTTCGAAACCTATCAAGGGGAACAGCTTTCTGCAGCGTGGCGAGACTTTAGCCGTATCAGCGTGGAACGACAGCTTATGGACGTTGCAAATCGAGCGATCACTATCCACACCTTTTCTAAATATCGTGTGGATATCGCTTGCTTATCGGAAATTCATTTTCTTTATATCGGGTATGATTATTAATCCTAGCTAGAAACAGAGGTACTGGCTATATTACTGTGGTGCTTCGGATAACTCGGGGCGAAATGGAGTAGCGATTGTCATATCTGACATTCCGCTTTGATTGGGTGGAAACCGGTAAGCAACCGTATGGCCTATGTCCGTTTTACGGATAAGTTCTGCAATATTTCGGTAATCTATGTCAATGCTCCAACCCTGTCGGCAGATGTGTTCAATGCGGAAATTCAACTGGTAACAAAGTTTCTATCAAAATATGATATAGTCATAGTCGGGAGAGATTGGAATGCATGCGTAGGTCATAATGCCGCTGCGATATAATTGGCATTGGAGACCGATGCGCCAATGGGAAGCGTTTTCGTTATGCCGAAGAGTATGAACTTTACTTGCTTCCGGCATCGCAAAAAACATCTAGTCACGTGGAATTCACCGGATAAAAAAACACTTCAACCAGATTGATTATATCTTAGTCAGTCACCGTTGGAACAGTTCCGTATTCCGTACTAGATAATCATTCCTACCGTGGAGGGTTCGAGCCAAGATCCGCAGAAAACAGGATCCCTCAAGATCCTTAAACTATCTCAAACTAAAAAATTCGGGGGCAGTGAGCATATTTCAAAGTGAATTATTGAAGTATCTCAGTGATGCAAATATCAATGACTTTTCTGGAACGGCAAATGAATAATGGTCCAAACTAAATGAATGCCTTCGAAAGACAGCCACTTCCATGCTAGGGCATACTAGTAGAAGGTGTGATAGTTGGGTATCGGAAGCAATTGTCCAACTGTCTGAAAAGACTGCCAAAGCATGAATCCTGACTATCGGATGCTTCGAAGATTTGCAGTGAAAGCACAGCGGGAGAGAAATCACTGTTGGAGTGACATGGCCTCAAGAATGGAGGCGGTGGCTCGATTAAGCGATAATAAGAAACTATTCTGTTTTTTTCATAGACTATAATTCGGGGAACAATCAGTGAAATGATAAGGGACAGCAATGGCGTGCCGGTCAAGAACCGCCTCATAAAATGGAAAGAATTCTTTGAGGACAAACTTAACCATGAAACGCCATCTGTTGCCCCTGATATAACTGACAGTTCGCTGAACCATATGCTTATAACTGCGAGCCCCCGACAGAAGAAGAAATAACATCTGTTATCAACAAACTTAAGGCCAATAAGGCTCCGGGAGAAGATGATCTTTGGGCTGAACTCTTTAAATATTGTCCATCGTCCTTCATAACACACCTTCAATAAATGTACGCTCTAGTATGGGAAAAAAAATATTAACAGATGATTGGAGTAATTCTGCTCCCAATTCTCAAAAAAGGTGATAGGACATACTGTAACAATTATCGAGGAATCAGCCTACTAGACGTTTCAGCGAAAATTTTTGCTTCCCTTTTAGTCAACAGGCTCATGGAAATGCGAGACAGCAGGATGCGCCCTAATCAAGCTGGAATCAGACCAGGGCGCGGTTGTGCTGACCAGATATTCACGTTAAAAAGGGTGTCGCTTCAAATATTTGCTACCCACTGCCACGTGTTTCATCGACTTTGCGGCTCCCATTGATTCAGTTGATTCAATTGATAGAAAGGCGCTTTGGAGGGTGATGGTATGCGACGGTGTTCCAGAGAAGATCATTAGACTCATAGAAGCATTTTATGAGTGCACATCGGCGCAAGTCTTATATATTGGAAGCTGACAAATTCCTTCGAAATAAGAACAGCTGTCCGTCAGGGCTATGTCCTTTCCCTCACGATATTCAACTATGAGACAGACTGGATAATGGATAATGGATACCACTTGCCGGCACTCAAGGGATGTCCAAACCAACCCAGAGCATCGTACCACAGATCTTGAATATATTGATGATGTAGTCCTTTTTGCTGATAGTTATGACGAAATGCAAATAATGCTAAATAACGTGTCAAAAACTGCAGAAAGAATAGGACTCAGGGTCAGCGTATACAAAAGCCTTTTCGTTATTAAAATGCTTCTTTTTGTAAATTTATTGCCGGTCGAGGAAGTGCCCGATTTTAAATACCTTGGCTCCACTCTAATGCCAAATGGCCAGGCAAAAGAAGATATTATAGCCCGGATCACGGCAGCTAGAAATGCGTTCTTCCGTTGACGAAACCTTTCGAGAAATCATCATTGAAAAAATATGGTTCTGAGACATGGCCAATGAGAGTGGAGGATATTAAGAAGCTATCTGCCTTTGACCATTTTTGTCTAAGGTATATTACGGGTCCGCCGAGCGGATAAAATCCCACAAAATCGCATCTACCTTCGTTCAAATACCACTTGCATAAATAATATTATCACAGAGCGCCGCCTTCGCTGGTTAGGGCACATTCTCCGTCGTCCACCACAGGAGCTGACGCATATTTCGTTATTTGCCGTGTGACGGTTGATGTCAAAAGCGAGATGGACCAATCAACACCTGGACTGATACGCTGAGAAAAGATTTTGAACGTATAGGTGGACCAACTATATGGACTTAGACGATGGAAAAAGTAATGGCTTCCATTACTGTCGACGATTCCATCAGACCATGCCGCTTGGAAGCGTTGCAGCCAGCCTAACCAGTAATGGTGAGAGCTGTTAGAAGAAGAAGAACACCCTCACTGTCAAGCAAGCTAATTCCTAAACTTTTTAAAACAGAAAAAATATTCTTGTTGTTAAAAATATTTATATCTAACCAATTCAATTTTTCATAACGACCAAGCTGAGCTTTAGTTTGCTGATAAAAAGCGCAAGCCATATCATTGCAACGTTGCTGCCATAGATGTTTATACATATGAGCCACTTCATCAAAAACACCACGACCGTAGATATGTTTTCCTTTTGTCTGAATGCGAATAAAAACATCCACATCATTCCACATATCCAATGTATAAGCAATGTACCTATAAAGCTGTTCTCCATGAACCTAAATTTTACTTCTAAAATCCTATCCAAATGAATGATAAAGATCACCACAATGAATTTAAAATTTGAATGAATGGTTCTTCCCAAGGAGAAGTAAGCTCTTGCAAAATCTGGACCAAACGTAGTCGAAAGTCATCAAGGAGCAATATCTGCAAAGATAATGAGTTGAATTAAATTGAAGAACAAATGAAAACATTAAAATAACCATATAAACAATAACAACCTGGAGTTCTAAAAATCTTGTTTGTAGTTTAACAGATTCAATCCAACGATAACGAGCAGTTAAATATTCAAGTAATAAAATAAATTGGTCCGTGCATTCAGAAACTCGATACTGGAAATAAATATTTATAGAAAACGAGGTTTACAGAAATTTTATGTGAAATTTTATGCGTCATAAAGCGAAAAATAAGGAAATTCAGTGGAAAAAATTGCAATATGAATTTGGAGTAGTCTAAAATATTTTGATATTTTTATATAAACAGTTTTATAACCAGGTATGGGGCTCACCTTGTCTAGCTTATCGACAAATTTTGCGATTATTAGGTAATTATTCAAACATATGAAAAATGCATGAAAAAAATAATAAAATTGTACCGAACAAATTAGTCAAATTTTTTCAAAATATAAATATCGTTACCGTGGCATAAAAGACAGAAATACACCAACCAAATCAATATCCGATGAATCCATATAGCGATTTCTCCACTTATCCTGGCATGTGAGTAAATTTTCAACGGCCGAAGTGCAGCAATCCTGTTCAAGTAATAGCCACTGGTTGATATAAGAATCCTCGCAGAATATCGATAAGACTCGTCCAATCATCAAAGGGCTCACATAACCACAATCGAAAATTTTTTCAGAGTTTTAATTTAAAAAAACGAAAGATTAAAAGGCTTCAAATATTGGCAAAAAAATACCTTTCTTTTATTTTGCAATGAAAGGAAATTAATATAATACCATGTAAATCTGTTTCGAAGGCAATAGCCTCGTCAATCAGATGGGAATAAAGCAATCGTTCATCAGTAACTTTTTTTAAAGTAATCCGAACTTTACCGGTAATTAAGCTTAAAAGCTGATCAATAAAATCGTTCGCTACAGCTTTTTGATCTGTAAAATTGTAAACTAATTAAATAAAGTAAAATTCACTGATAGCAATTACGTAATAAAACTGAAGAAAAAATAAATAAATTTAAATTATAAAGTTATTTTAAGAAAAAATTGTCGGGAAAATGATATTTAAAGTATATAGTTTAAAATTTATAAAAATATAAACGTACCTGCCTTTTCAATATAAATTTCTTGTGAAATGCATTCAATAAATTCCATATTTGCATTAATCCAAGTGAGAATTTGAGTGAAAAACCACTCTGGCTTAGAGGCATCATCCGTTTTGCGACCAGAATAAAAATGAAAATAAAATCGCTTCTTCAGTGGAGTAAATAATAAATTAACCACTTTTTCGCTTAAAAAAAATTTATATTTAAATTATTCAACGACATAATATGAAAAAAATGTTTTTACCGATTAATGATCAAATTTTTGCTTTTTGATTCGATAATACATGCAGATTTTATTAAGATAATAATTTGTCTTATAGTAGATGCGATTGAACGAAGGTCAATATCCCGTTCAAATGGGAAATTAATGGCATCAAAAAAAGTTTGAAGTGAAACTGAAACATAATGACGAACTTCTCCTAATATTTTATCCACTTCCGTATTGTAGTCGTCATATGGTTCCTAGAACTAATAAACCAGTGATTTAATAATTATTAAGTTAAAAGACACTTATTCACAATAAAATATTATTTCTGTCAAATAAATCTTTAAAAATGGACCAATGTAATAAAAAGTAAAAAAAAAAAGTGGAAATTATACCAAAGAAGAAAATTTATTGCACAAAAATTTCGATAATTCAGCGAATAAAGTCTCATGTTCCTTAGAATCCATAAGCCGTTTTACTTCTTTTATACTATTCATAAACACAGAAATTTCTCGTGAACGATCTAAGCGCTCTTGAATCTGAGACAAACGAACAAATTTTTCATAAAGTACCGAATCCTAAAAACTCAAATGAGTTAAAATCTAAAACTGCAGCAATCCCTAATGAAACCAAATGAAAATCAACTTTTCAATTCTTTCTTTATTTTCTTAGATACTTCATTTCTCCAACCTTTCCCAAAACCCTATATAATTTGTTTATAAAAATTTTAATGGAATAATTTTAATAAACTAACTTTTGTTAAAGTGCGAAAAACAGCTTCACATCTGGAACTGTACTCGGAATTTAAATTTAAAATATCATTCTTTAATGTTTGCAAATTTTCTCTCATTATTCGAAGTTTCTCGAGAAAAAGCGATAAGCTATTCCCCGTGAAAGAAATTTGTTGCTGAAAATATAATAATTAGCAAAAATTAATTAAATTAAATGCAAAAATTGACGAATTCGATATAGAAATGGAGAAAGAAATAATTTTAACTATGAAATCTGCCAGCAAAGATCCAGTAACTAGAATAGAAAAAGTTTCATATCGATTTTTGGTGATTTTTTAAGAATCAAATAATATTTCAAAAAAAAGAATGGAAAGATTTAGCTATATTATCCATACTGAAAAAATTCAAATACTGCTACAAGACAACTATCTGGTTAAAATAAAGTATTTCAATAAAAATTTAAAGATGAAAAATGCAAAAATTATAAATGAAAATAAAATTATAAATATTAGGAAAAGAAATTTGTATTTATTGACGATAATACTCATACTTCTTGTTTTAACGTAAATCGAATTCGCTGCACTTCTCTCGATGTAGTTGAAATAATACTACTGGATGCTTATGATGCCTTAAATAGACTTAACCATCCATTTCACCTGATCCCGATAATATTGCACAAACAATTTATAAAAAATGTGCAGTTTCTATGAGCTTTCCACTATTTTTACTTTATATGGATATTATGTCCCAAAATTTCCCTAATCCCAAAATTTGGAAATTGTCTTATATAATTCCCATTCATAAAAAAGGAAGCACTTATGACCGTTCTAATTATAGACCTGTTAGCCTAACACTCGTTGGTAGCAAGGTTGATTTGTAAAAAATTGCTTACTTATCTTGATGCCAATAATTTCATATCCTCTTATCAACATGGCTTTTGCGTAAAAAGTCAACTTCTTCACAAATATTGGCAAACCTTTCCGATTGGTCAGCACCAACTGACAATGGAAAATGAAAACAGCATCAGTTGGTACCTAGATTGAGCTAAAGCTTTTGATACTGTTTCCCATAAAATTATTGATCATTCTTTATAGTTATGGCATTACAGGGGCCCGTTACTGATCATATTACATAAAAGATTGTCACCAAGTTGTATGTTCCAATAACATTCTTTCTGACACAACACCTGTTAAATTTGGCGTTCCCCAAGGTAATTATACTCCATTTCTTTTTCTATTATATATAAATGATATCGACAATGTGGTACTAAATTCTACTATTTATCTTTATGCTGATTGCAAAATTTATTATTCTCATGGTAGAACAGATAGCCTATCTCCACTGCAGGAGGAGTTTAACAGAATAACCAACTGGCTATATGACAGGCAAATTACCCTTTCTTTTAAAAAGTGTAGCGTTCCTCATATTAAGTTTGAAGGCTTCGATTTTTCTAATCTTTTTATTAATGGTAATATAACCAGTAGAGTCTCATACATTTCTGATCCTGGAATAATCATGGATGAAAATCTTGATTTTTTCTTTGGCAGGAGTAAACCTGCCATTATGACAAAATTCCGCTGGCTGCTGTGGACCCATCTGCATTCTATCCCCAAGTGACTCTGTGGTGAAGGGATCAAATATTTTCGATACAACGTACGCTTCTCCTGACACACTCCCAGCCTGGTGGTACATGCGATAAATGCACAATCCGGGCTTAAAGCGGTCCCAAGGCTTATAAATAAAATCTGTCCACAAGTCAGGATAATTGTCCGAAACCTTTCAAGGGGAACAGTTCTATGCATGCGTGGAGAAAGGCGTATTAGCGTGGAACGACATGCTTAAGGACAAATCGAGCGATCACTATCCACACCTTTTCTAAATTTCGTGTGGATATCGCTTGCTTATCGGAGGTCCATCTTCCTTATTTCGGGTCTAATTATTAATCCTGGCTAGATGTACTGACTATATTACTGTGGTGCTTCGGATAATTCGGGGCAAAATGGCGTAGCGATTGTCATATCTGATATTCCGCTTTGATTGGGTGGAAACAGGTAAGCAACCATATGGCCTATGCCCGTTTTACAGTTCTGCGGTAAGTTCTGCAATACTTCGATAATCAATGTCTATACTCCAACCCTGTCGGCAGATGTGTTCAATGTGGAAATTCAAATGCTAATAAAGTCTTTATCAAAATATGCCATAGTCATAGTCGGAAGAGATTGCAATGTATGCGTAGGTTATACCGCTGCGATATAATTGGCAAATATGGAATTGGAGACCAGTGCGCCAATGGGAAATATATTCGTTATGCCGAATATGAACTTTACTTGCTTCCGACATCGCAGAAAACATCTAATCACGTGGAATTCCCCACACAAAAAAACACTTCAACCAGATTGATTATATCTTAGTCAGTCACCGTTGGAAGAGTTCCGTACTAGATAATCATCCCTACTGTGGAGGGTTCGAGCCAAGATCCGCATAAAACTGACAGCTCGCAGAAAACAGGATCCCCCAAGATCCTTAAAATATCTCAAACTAAAAAATTCGGGGGAAACAAGCATATTTCAAAGTGAATTATTGAAGTATCTCAGTGATGCAAATATCAATGACTTTTCTGGAACGGCAAATGAATAATGGTCCAAACTAAATGAATGCCTTCGAAAGACAGCCACTTCCATGCTAGGGCATACTAGTAGAAGGTGTGATAGTTGGGTATCGGAAGCAATTGTCCAACTGTCTGAAAAGACTGCCAAAGCATGAATCCTGACTACCGGATGCTTCGAAGATTTGCAGTGAAAGCACAGCGGGAGAGAAATCACTGTTGGAGTGACATGGCCTCAAGAATGGAGGCGGCGGCTCGATTAAGCGATAATAAGAAACTAGTCTGCCTTCTTCATAGCAACTATAATTCAGGAAACGATTAGTGAAATGGTAAGGGACAGCAATGGTGTGCCAGTCAAGAACCGCCTCATAAGATGGAAAGAATTCTTTGAGGCCAAACATAACCAAGAAGCACCATCCGTTGCCCCTGATATAAGTGATGGTTCGCTGAACCATATGCTTGCAACTATGAGCCCCTGAGAAAAGAAGAAATATTATCTGTTATCCATAAGCTTAAGGCCAATAAAACTCTGAGAGAAAATGATCTTCGGACTGAACTCTTTAAATGTTGTCCATAATTATTCATAATACACTTTTAACTCTCTGGTATGGGAAAAAGAAATATTACCAGATGATTGCAGCAAAGCAATTTTACTCCCAATTCTCAAGAAAGGTGATAGCCCTAATCAAGCTGGATTCACACCGAGGCATGGTTTTGCTGACCAGATATTTATGTTAAGAAGGGTTTGAAACGTCGCTTCATATGTTTGCAGCCCATTATCAAGTGTTTCATCGACTTTGCGGCTGCCATTGATTCAACTGATTCAAGAGAAAGGTGCTTTGGAGGGTGATGGTATGCGACGGTATTCCAGAGAAGATCATTAGACTCATAGAAGCATTTTATGAGTGCACATCGGCGCAAGTCTTATATATTGGGAGCTGACAAATTCCTTCGAAATAAGAACAGCTGTCCGTCAGGGCTATGTCCTTTCCCTCACGATATTCAACTATGAGATAGACTGGGTAATGGACATCGCTTGTCGGTACTCAATGGATGTCCAAATCAATCCAGAGCATCGTATCATAGATCTTGAATATGCTGATGATGTAGTCTTTTTTGCTGAAAGCGAGATGGGACAATCAAGACCTGGACTGATACGGTGAGAAAAGATTTTGAATGCATAGATAGACCAGCAATATATGGACTTAGACGATGGAAAAAAGAATGGTTTCTATTACTATCGACGATGGCATCAAACCGCGCCCTTTGGAAGCGTCTTACTCTTGTAACCGTTGAAGCCAGCTTAACCAGTAATAGTGAGACCTGTTAAAAAAAGAAAAAAATCTCGATTTCGAGCTTCATTGCAAAACCATGGTAAAGAAATCCTCAAAAATACTAATACATAAATTTTATTTTTTGTTCATTTAAGAACTGAAGGTTTTCTTATCAAAATATATAAAGCATTCATTCGGCCATTTCTTGACTACAGTATTAGATGTTACTCCCCGAGTTATCGTAAATCAAGTAAAATGATTGAAGTACTCCAAAAATATTTTATACGACGCCTCTCTTCTAATTGCAGTTTTAATTATAAAAGAAAATTTCTACAATACAACCTGTATTCTCTCAGAGTTCGTCGAATTGAGATTTAACTCATATGATTCTGTATGGTTACGCTAAACTAGATTGTTCAAAATACTATAATTTTACGCTAAATTTGAATCCAATAAGAACTAATGGGCTAAAATTATTAAAACCTACGTGTAAAACTAAACTAAGGACTTACGATTTCTTTATTCGTACTATTAATTACTGGAATAAATTACCAAATGATATAGCTTGTGCGTCATCCTTAATCTTTAAAAAAAAATCATTAAATAATATCATTAGAAATTAGATAATATTATTTATGACATTATTTAAAAAGTTCACATCATGTAGGAAGTGTGAAATCTCGATTTTTACCCTCCGATTATATATAATACAGTTACTTCCAATTGTACTATATTATATTATTCTGGAATTTCCTCTTTATTTTCTCTTTAAACTGTTAATTTTTGTAATATCTTCTATTTTTCTAATTATTAAATTTTATTGTTTTTTTTTATTATTAATACAAGCATATGGCGTTGTCGCCCTGCTTGGTTGGTTTTCAATAAATAAATAAATAAAGCAAAGTAATACTTTTATATACTTTTATAATTTATAACTCTTAAATACATCATTTTATTCTTAAACTATGCGTAAATGAAAGGAATAAAATTTCTTAAATCACTCTATAATTTATTATGCTTTATTCCCCGTTTAAACCCATTTGAAATTATTGATACTTGAAAGCATATTAAAGTCAAAAACTGAATATTATCAGCATCAATACCAAATTTATTTCTGTTTGTTTTCGCCCATTGATTTATTAATTGATCATTTCGAGTTATAATTGCCTCAGCTGTCATTGTATATATTCGAAGTAGAACGAAAAGAAATCGCTGATGTTGAAGAATATCATTTGATAAAAATTCATTCATTTTATAACACCTCGAGAAAATTTTAGATATTCCATTTCTCTAATACTCAATCCTATATTGAAAAATATGACCAACCTGATAGTCTTCATATTTCGAGTTTACTTCAAACATAATTTTGCTGAATTCTTGAAAGAACAAACGAAGATTGTCCATTGGGATCCTCGCAATTCGCTCCAAGAATTTATCGACCTAAAATTTTGGATTAAAAATTAGTAAATTAAGCAAACAGAAAATTAAAGAAATTTGTTGAAAGAATGACTTATAAGGTTAATATTAAATGAATCATCGCCCGTTTCTCAACTTTAAGGAATGAAAAAAATTATAAATTGCAAAATTAAAGGAATAAAAGAACAGAAACTTAGAAAAATAATGTAATTTTCCGCACTAAATTTTCCTTTTTTCCATTCTTTCCCCTTTACTCTTTTCACACCTCTTTTTTTCGCTGGCGCTATAGGAGAAAAGTATTAAAAATATCCATTAAAAATCACCGTGATATTATCAAAATTGAGACGTTCGCCATTTGCAAAATCACTGCAATTTTTAATTGCCTGAATTTTAGACGTCCAAATTTCTGTACTAAATGAAAGATCCATTCAATTTACGCAAAAACTTCTCCTCCTTTTACGATTTTAGCAATTTATAAAAGATGCGAAATGAAATCAAATCACTTTTGCTGCAAAAACTTTCCTTGCCTTCCCAAAACTTTGATCCCCAATGGTCAACAAGGATCTGCGCTGTATTAGTTAAAGTGGCGGTCGCATGTGTAGTTTTATGGCCGCGGTCCTACCAACTTTGGCCAGGTGAGAATTGGTGAAAAATTCCTTTACTGAAGGAGAGTGACGGTAAGTTTACGTACAATTTTGCTAGAATTCAGTTACTGAAAGGAACAAAAATGTTCGATGATTATAACTGCAAATAGTATAAATGTGGCTGTAATAATGCAAATTGGAAGTTTTATTAATTTAAATGCGATAAATATATTGGCGTTAAAAAAAGAAAATGTCGAAAAAAAGAAGCAGCAATAATGAATTTCCAGCTGCGGATGCATCTTCAAACAATTTCCTGACTTATATCCCATCAAAACTCCTTTCAGTGACTGAAAAAAGCGGAGATGGACCGAGCAAAGACCGAGCCAAATTGCGGTGGTAATTGGATCTTAGAAATAGCATTTGGACTGGAAGTGCTTGGAGAAACAATGATGTAGGGGTTACATTGATAAATTTTAAATTTCTTAAATATTACTGAATAGTACGGCAGTAAAGAATAAAGAAGAGTTTTTCGGAATAGGAGGAAATCTCAAAGAACAACGATTCGAAATCCCAGAAACAAAGTCTATTTATACCGTGGAACAAATAAAGAGATGAGTTATCAGAATTAGAACGGAGTGTGTCTTTTCTTACGACGTCAAAACCTGTAAATCCCATTAATCAAGTTTTAGATAAACATAAAATGATACCACGATTTTCGAATATGAATAATCTTAATTCAAGAAGCTCATAACTGCCACCGGGAAATGTGGCTTGGACTCGAATCCTCCAACGCACCACTCTTCGTCGGGAAGCAGTGTCGCTTAACAAAAGAAAATAGAATAGCTCAATGTGGAGCCCAAATATTGAAATTACAATCCAGGCAAGAATGACCTGCTCAAAAATCGTAGTGATGTTGGCGTATCTGTACCTATACATCGTACCTGTGCCACCAAGGAACCTCCTAACATATTTGTCTAGTGCGACAAGCCAGAAGAATGAGTCTAATCAGTAATGGTGAGTACTCTTAAAAAAAAAATCAAGAAGCTCATTTTAATGCTCCCAATATCGATAAATCCAAGAATTTGGAAATTGTCCCATATAATTCTCATTCATAAAAATGGAAACACCTATGATCCTTACAATTACATATATCAGCACAACGCGAGTCGATAGCGGAGTACTGGATAGACTGATTTGCAACAAGTTGTTTAGCCATTTTGATATTAATAATTTGATATCCTCCTATCAGTATAGTTTTTACATGGAAAAATCCACTGCCTTATAAATATTTCTAAATCTGATTGGTCAGCATCACTTGGTAATAAAAAATAGTATCAATTAACTAGATTTCTTAAAAGGTCGACATCAAAGCTATCTTCTTCGTCTTCTAATAGCTCTCACCATTATTGGTTAGACTGGCTCCAACGGTTACAAGGGTAAGATGCTTCCAAGCGGTGTGGTCTGATGCCATCGTCGATAATAATGGAAGCCATTCCTTTTTCCATCGTCTAAGTCCATACATCTATGCGTTGTCCATCTATGCGTTTCAAAATCTTTTCTCACCATATCAATCCAGGTCTTGATTGGACAATCTCTCTTTTGATGCCAACCATCACAGCAAATAACGAGTTTAGCAAATAACGAAATATGCGTTAACTCCTGTGGTGGACGACACAGAATGTGCCCTAACCAGCTAAGGCGGCGCTCTATGATAATATTATTTATTAATATTATTTATATTAATAAATATTAGTTATTTAATATCATTTAAGTGATATTTGAACGAAGATGGATGCGATCTTGTGATATTTTATCCGCTCGACGAATCATATGTACCTTAGAGTGGTCAAAGGCAGATAGCTTCTTAATATCCTCCACTCTCATTGTCCATGTCTCAGAACCATATAGTGAGATCGAAAGGATCACGGCAATATAGATGCGAACTTTCGTTTTTATGGTGATTTCACGACGATTCCATAACGGTTTCGTCAACCGGAAGAAGGCATTTCTAGCTGCCGTGATCCGAGTTGAAATATCATCTTTTGCCTGTCCATTTGCTATTAGAGTAAACCTAATCGGGCACTTCCTAAACCGGCAATACAAATTTACAAAAAGAGGCATTTTATCAGCTTCTTGCACATAAGACGAAAAGTCTTTCGTTTTATTTACATTGATCCTGAGTCCGACATCAAAGCATCAATGATCAATGATTATCTTTTAGATTTGGTTCCAGCCAAATCAGGGATCCCTCAAGATAGTTTATCGCACCATTGCTTTATTATATATTATTAATTAATTATATATTCATTTTTATTATTTATTCATGACATCACCAAAGTTGATTCAACCATTTCAACCATTTAGCTTTATGACTGACTGTTATTACTAAAATTTTTTATTCTCATTTAGTAGATCGGATCATAGAATATGTAATTAATAAAAGATTCTGTTTCTCCTAAAAGATGGCCTCAATAGAATTTTCAACTTTTTCTTCTTCTAACAGCTCTCACCATTATTGGTTAGGTTTGCTCCAACGGCTACAAAGGCTATAAGACACTTCCAAGCTGCGCGCCATCGTCGACATTAATGGAAACTATTCCTTTTTCCATCGTCCAAGTCCATACATTGCTGATCCACCTATACGTTCAAAATTTTTTCTCACCGTACCAGTCCAGGTCTTGATTGGTCCACCTCGATTTTGACGCCACCCATCATACGGTTTAGCAAGTAACGAAATATGCATCAATTTCTGTGATGGACGGCGGAGAACTAATCAGCGAAGGCGACGCTCTGTGATAATATTATTAATATTATTAATATAAATAATATTATTAATGCAAATGGTATTTGAACGAAGGTGAGTGCGAACATGTGATATATTGCTCACTT